GAGCAGGGGAGGGTCAGAGAGAGAGGGAGTCACAGACTGAAACAGGCTCCAGGCTCTGAGCTGGCAGTCAGCACAGAGCCCGACGCGGGGCTCGAACCCACGAACCGCGAGATCATGACCTGAGCGAAAGTCGGACGCTTAACCGACTAAGCCACCCAGGCGCCCCGGCATTCTTCCTTTCTATTACACGGGTTTTGACTTTCAGCATTTCTTTTTCATTTTCTTAGAATTTCCATCTCTTCACTTACATTGCCCATCTGTTCGTACATGCTGTCTACTTTATCTATTAGAGCCCTTAGCATCTTAATCATTGTTGTTTTAAATTTCTGATCTGATAACTCCCACATTCTTGCCATATGTGGTTATGATCCTTGCTCTGTCTCTTCAGACTGTTTTTTTGGCTTTTAGTATGTTTTGTTATTTTTTTTTTCTTAATAAAAACACATACTGGGTAAAAGGAACTGCTATAAATAGACCTTTAGTAAGGTGGGTGAGGCGTGGGAAGAGGGGAGACATTCCATAGTCTTGTGAGTAGATCACAGTCTTAGTGAGCCTGTCCCTCTGGATTGTGAACTTCACACTTGATTCTCAGCCCCTGCTTACTCTTCCCCTCCCTCCTAGTGGGACAGGATGGCTAGAGTAGGCTGGAGTTGGTTGATGCCAATTCTCTATATAAGTTAGGATATGATAATACCTTAACAGGTTAGGATCTGTTTACCTGGTTTCTCTCGAGGGCAGGTCTTGTTAAGAACAGGATGCTCTAGCCTATTTTGAAATTACTCCTTTTCCCTTTACCCTGCTGGAAGCACAGAAAAATTTTCTCCCATATTCACTGTGAGAACCTGGTCAAACTCTTGGAGGTAAAATTGATGAAAGTTTTAGGGTCCTCATGACAGAGTCCTCGTGGGTTTTTTCTCTCTCAGACCTGTCCATGCTGAGTCTCCGGCAGTTTGTCAGCTGCAATTCAGGGTTCCCTACCTCAGCACTGATTCCCATGGAGGTTTTGATCCTGGATATTTGCTCTGGTGAGTTGGGATTCTTTGTATTCACCTGTTGGTTTCTCTAATTTTAGAGGCAGTTGTTTCCCCTGTGAGCTGCTTCTGTTGATGGATATAGGAAGAGTTGTTAATTTTTTGGTTGGTTCAGCTTTTTACTTAAAAAGTGTTTGAATTGCTTAAAAATTCAAACAATATTTGAAACAACTTCTTAACATGTTGGGCTACAAACTAGAAGTCTCCCTATATCTTACCTGGTTATTAATCTTACTGAGTTGTAGGAGTTCCTTATATATGCTGAATATAAGTCCTTTTTATCAGATGTGTTTTGCAAGTATTTCCTCCCAGTCTGTGGTTTGCCTTTTTATTTTTATAACTGTGCCTTTTGAAGAGCAAGCCCTGGATACCTTTGTTTAAAATCAGCTGATCATATAAACAAGTCTGTTTCTGGACTATGTTCCATTCTCTTGATCTGTATGTCTGTATTTATGCCATTACCATATTGTCTTGATTATCAGAGCTTGAATTCACGTAGTGTAAATCCTCCAGTTTTGTTCTTTTCCATAAAAAAAAAAAAAACTGTTTTGGATATTAGAACTCTTTTCTCTTTTTCTAAAGAAAAAACTTTCTTTAAGTTTTTTCTTTATTTACATTGAGAGAGTGCATGAGCTTCGCCAGGGAGGGGCAGGGAGAGGAAGGTTAGAGAATCCCAAACAGACTCTGCTGTCAGCACAGAGCCTGATGCAGGGCTCAGTCCCACGAGTCGTGAGATCATGACCTGAAGATTATGATTCTTTTACTGTTTCCTAGTTTACTTATTATACCTTGAAACCATACTTTGTATTGTTTTAATCCTTTAAAAATGTTCAAGGCTTCGGGGTCCTGGCTGGCTCAGTCAATAAGCATGTGACTTTTGATCTCAAGGTTGTAAGGTCAAGTCCCATGTTACATGAAGTGGTTAATGAAAAATAAAATCTTTTTTAAAAAGTGTCTCCAGCCTCTCCATACTTTTAAGATTTTCTCTTTATCTCTGATTTTCAGTAATTTAAATATTTTCTTATTATTTATTTTTGAGAGAGAGAGAGTTGGGGGGGCAGGCCACAGAGAGAAGGAGACACAGAATCCAAAGCAGGCTCCAGGCTCTGAGCTGTCAGCACAGAGCCCAGTGCAGGTCTCGAACTCATGAACTGTGAGATCATGACCTGAGCTGAAGTCAGTCGCTTAACTGATTGAGCCACTCAGGCACCCCTGATTTTCAGTAATTGTGAGGTACCCTGATACCATTTTCCTTATGTTTCCTTTGTGTGAGATTCATTGGACTTTTTGTGTGTAGGCTTACAATTTTTTTCAATTTTGAAAAAAATTGGCCTTTTTTCCAAACCTTTTTTTGTCTCCTCTTCTCCCCTTTCCTGAAGTGCCACTTATATGTACTGCTTGATACTGTCCCACAGGTCACAGGTGCTGTGTTGATTTTTTTCCCCATGTGCTTTATTTTGTATAGTTTATATTGCTGCGTATTCAAGTTCACAGTTCTTTTCTTTTGCAGAGTCTAATATGTTGTTAATCCTATCCAGTGAAATCTTCATTTTAGGTATCATAATTTTCATGCCTACAAGTTCCATTTGGTTGGTTTTGATATCTTCCCTATACTCCTCACTATGTCCATGTTTGGTTTGGAGCATATTTCTAAGAGCTGTTTTAATGTCATTATCTGCTAATTTCATTATCTCTCATTTTTTTATCTGTGTCTAATGATTGATTTTTTTTTTAATCCTGGTTGTAAGTCATTTTCCTGCCCCCTCCTTTTTTTTTTTTTTTCCTGTCTCTTTTAATATCTGGTCGTTTTTGATTGGGTGCTAGACATTGCAAATCTTATGTTTTGGTGTGCTGCATTTCATTGTGTTCCTTTAAAAAGTGTTGGAATTTGTTCTGATGTTTACTTAAGTTAACCTGTGATCACTTTGATCCTTTTGAGTCTTCCAAGACTCTACTATATGCCCCTTTATTAACCAGGGTTTTCTACCCTGGCTAGTAGAACTACAAACTAGTCCAGCTCTGTCTGGACTCTAGGAATTGTTCAGCTAACTGCTTTTTGGGAATTCTTTCCGTAGCCTCACAGAGTACCACTTCACATGTGCAAATCATTATTCTACAGACTATTCCAGGGAACTCTTCCGCAGATGGCCATAATTCTCTCTGCAACTCCTTCCTTCCTTGTCTTTTGCTCTTCAGATTCTTACTGTGTGGGCTTCTGAAATCCATCTCTTCCTCAACAATTCAGCAAGATTATGGGGATCTGTTTGCATGTACTTTCCCTGCAGTGCTGCTTGGAAATTTCTTTCAGGCAGTAAGCTCTGGCAATTTGGGGCTCACATTGCTTGTTTCTCTCTGAGATCATAGGTCTTTACTGCAGTTGTCCAATGTCTGAAAAACAATTGTTACATATATTTTGTCAAGTTTCCTAGTTGCTTGTGGTAGAAAGCATAGTAGTTAATTCTTCATAGGCTAAATATTATCCTTTTACCTTTTAACCAGTTCACTCTGTCTTCTCTGCTCCCTCTTCTATATTTGTGTTTACTATAGAAGAAATTGAAACACTAATATAATACATATCCTTAAATTATTTGCAGGTGAAGCCATCTCACAATACAGGTTCATGCTAGATTTTACAGTTTCTGTTAAAATGGTATATAGGTGGTGTTTTGGAGAGGCTAAGTGGGTTTTTGTATTTTTAATTTACTTTGCTTTGTTCTTTGTCTAAATATATTGTATGCAATTTTTGTTATTGCCACTTGTAACTTAGAATTTTTTACTTCTGTTTTCATTTTGTTCACTTGAGAAATAATTAAATATGTAACCACATGAAACAATGTTTAACTTCTCTGATTTTCTTTCCTAGGTGGTACAGCTGTATGCTGGGGAAGAAATGCAGCCTGGCTCCTTTAAAGGAAGAACTTCGCATACAAGGGGTAAGGCTTTATCATTACCATTCTGGTGTGTCTACTTGTGATGGCAGTTAAAGTATTGAATTTTCCTTTATACTTTAAAACTCCAAATTTGTTTTTTTGTTTGTTTATTTTTGAATTTTGTAATTCTGGGGCTAAAAGAGGATTTTTACAAATTATTTTTAAAAGGCCTTCTTTGACAATTAAAACAGAGAAAAGATGGGGAAAACAGTATGAGTACGATGTCAGAGAGCGACCAGAAATGAAAAAACCTGATACCACCTGCCACCAACCCCCTGTCAGATTCCTTTGTAATTACAGAAACTGAAGGCTACATAGTCAAGGGGCTTGTTCTGGGTCACATGTCTAGTTATCAGAGATCAGCTCTAATTAGAATGGTCTTCAGTCAACTTTGATTCCCTTTATGGTACAGTCTACATGAGTTCAGACCCTTGCTTCTGCCCCCTGACTTCTCTCCCAGTTTATGATGTTTGTTACAAGTAAGCATGAGCCAGGTGATTTTTCAGAGAAGGGGGTTAGATGTGTGGTCAGTGGCAGAAACCCAGGTTTCTCACTGCTGGTTTCTCTCTGACATTGTACTCATCCTGTTTTCCCTGTCACACCTTTTCTGTGTTAAAATTGTAACAGCTACAAAGTAATTTCATTTTTTTCCCATAAAACCCGATAGATAAAAGGGAGACTACATGGCTGTATCTAGCCAGGCTTTGGTGGCTTTCTTTCCTTAAAAAAGAAAGAAAAGATAACAAAACAAAACAACATTTGAATCATTTACTAGTGGTTTTCTGAAGGAGCTGTGTTATTTTGAGTGTTTTGTTCACTTGGACCTTCAAGCCAGAACTGTAAATTCTCTCTAATGTTTTAGAAGAGGAAAAAACATACAACTTTGTTGAGACATAATTTATTCAGTGATTATTAGACAACTGTACATAACTGGGTATAGCAGAGTTTCTTAATTGACAGAAAGAAAGACCATCACATAATTATCATGAAGCAGGAGCCAAAAACATATTGGTGGAATGACTTCAATTTGATGGGATGACCTGTGTCTTGGTTTCAGGTTCCTAAAGTCACCTACACTGAATTCTGTCAAGGTCGGACAATGAGATGGGCTTTAGCTTGGAGTTTTTATGATGATGTTACAGTGCCAGTAAGTAGAGCCTTTGTTAACAGCTTCTCCAAATGCCAGCACGTGGTGGGTTTCAGTAGGTCATAAATAAATCTGTCCTGTCTTGTTGCCCTGAAGTTTGCCCCAGATGCTCATGGCAGAATGGGAAGTGTTGTGAAGCAAGGCACAGTCCTATAAGGTGGACTGTAGTGACCATGGAGTCTTTGTCTGTGGGTTTGTGCAATGCCGTGCTCGTATAACCTGTGGAAACACCTTGCAGGTGTAATTAATTCTGTGGGATATTCCTTTAGAATTGAAATTAGTTTTTATTTTTCTTTATTATTGATGTGCTTTCATAGAGTAGCTGTCTCCTGGGGTTATTGGTAAATGCAGAAATTGCCATTTTGGGTTGCAGGCCTTTGATCATTCCAGTAAAGGGTTCTGTCTTAGCTTTAAGATTACCAGTAGAATATTGATCAGTTTTGGATGGTCATTATCCTGTTCTCTCTACTTTGCATATGCTCAAGCTTGAACATTTTCTTTACTAGAATGTTTTAAAGAATGATTTGTTCCACAAATTTCTCTGTCCTCCGTGTTATTTTATGTAATGGAAAAATGCTTCTGAACTGGTTAGACTGAATAATTTCTCTGGGCTGTACTGAGAGGCGGTAATAGAAGAGCATCTGTTTGTTCTCAACATTTCCTTCACAAGAGTGATCGGCCTTGTTGCCTGGAGCCTCCCATCTTAAGTTTATGCACACATTGCTGGGCACTGTGCTCCCTCTTCTCATAGTAATAATGGAGGCCTGGTACCTGGTCCTTCAGGTCTCTGATCCCCTATCCATACAATAGGTTTATTTTGGGTGCTCCTTTCCCAAAGTCTTGGTTGCTCTTGGGTCTTTCAAGTCTTAAATGTTGCTGTGTCTGTGAGCCTCTTCCCCTTCTCTCCTAGGACAAAGGAGTAGAGACATGTGCAGAAGTACAAGGGGATAATTTGCAGGTGTTTCTGATTACATGGGCTCAGATTTAAAACTGAGCCTGTCCTTCCTGTACTCTGCTACTAGGTGTGCTGCTGGGTTGAAATAAATGTCCCAGTCAAGTTTGAATGGCCTATCCTGTGTAAGCCTATGCCTCCCTCTGTATAAGGCAGTATAGGGAGACTAGAGGTTAGTGTTTGACATGTTCACGGTTTTTTCTGTTTTGTTTTGTTTTAAGTTTATTTATTTATTGTGAGAGAGAGGATGTGCACGAGTGGAGGAGGGGCAGAGAGAGAGAGAGAAAGAATCCCAAGCAGGCTCTGTGCTGTCAGCTCAGAGCCCATTGTGGGGCTCGAACTCATGAACCGTGAGATCATGACCTGAGCTGAGATCAAGAGTTGGACGCTTAAGAGACTGAGCCATTCAGGAATCCCTATTTTTTTTTTTAAGTTTATTTATTTATTTTGAGGGAGAGAGAGTGCGTGTGAGTGGGGGAAGGGGCAAAGAAAAGAGAGAGAGAATCCCAAGCAGATTCCGAATTGCTCAGACAAATGAGTCAGATGCTCAACTGACTGAACCATCTAGGCACCCCTGAAATGTGCACTTGTTTATTTTTATGTATGTATGTATGCATGTATTTATCTTTTAATGTTTATGTTTGAGAGAGGAGAAAGCGCATGTGCACACATGAGTGGGGGAGGGGCAGAAAAAGAGGAAAACAGAGAATCTGAAGCAGCCTCCAGGCTCTGAGCTGTTTAAAAAGATAGCTCTGGGCTGTTGTTGTTCCTTTGTTTGTTTTGTTTTGTTTTTACCTCCCTGACAGATTATCCTTTCTGTCATTTTCTAGAATATTGGGGCTTTCACACCAAGTGGTTAAAATCATTGGTAATGCCCTCAATTATCCCTGCACAAACACTGGGTTATCCCTGGATTAATATGCAGATATTAACAGTGGCAGGAAAGTGGAACTGTGTCTGTTTCCAAATGATTTCTCTTTAACCTGCTTCCCATATTTGTTGGCACCACAGGTGGAAGAGCTTATAATGGGCTCTGGCACATTCCATGCCATCTCAGAGCCCAAAGTCCCCTTTGCCCCCTTGGATTAGTAGCTGTCTCCGATGAAAATATCAAAGGGCACTATGTTTCTGTGTTAGCAAAATCAGCTTATTTTGAAAAGGAACCTTCTCCCTCCTTGTCTTCTAGGCCATTCTTGAGCCCTATTCATAGTTTGAACCATCAAAGAATGTCTCTTGCAAAGGGCCTCAGGTTCTCCCATGCCAGAGTACTCCTCCCTCCCCACAGTATCCTCAACCCAAAGCTGTTAATAACGCGTTCCCAAGTGTTCCATTAGGTGCACTTAAACCGCTACAGGGAAAATGGCAGTTTCTGATTTGCAGTAACCCAGCAACAGTTTCTTAGCACTGGTGCCCTTGATCAGCAACCGCTTTCCCAGGGGTAGGCCCAGAGCACTGGCGAGGTTTTCAGTGGGCCATCCTCCTGGTTCTCCTCTCCTCCACCTGGACCTTTCCCCACGCCTTGCATTTGGAAATGCTCCCCTGACTTTCTCCCTCTCGCTCCTGTTACGAGTGGGTAGCTAGGAGGATGCTGTTTTCGATGAGGACAGGAAGCCTAGAGCTAGTTAAGTAGAAATATTGACCTACTTCCCCACCCTACCCCCACTCCTGCCTTTTTAGGGTAAATGTGCAAGTTACTATGGCAACTTCTATTTTCACTTATCTTAGGCCCACTGACTCGTTGCTGTTGGTGCCGAATGCTAAAAAAAATTCTGATTCAAGTGCCTACACTAAGTCCATTGCTCTTGTCTAGATTTATTTTAGCAACAAAAGGATGAATCCTAGTGTTGATAGAATTTTTGTACAATCATTCCTACTGATGATGTATATAAGGAAGCATATTGTGAGGACTGTTCTTTACAGATTTAACAAGCCACTTAGAATGCCTCTTTGTCCCAGCTTCTCCTTTAATTACTCAAGATGTTATTTTAGCTTTGCTTTGCATTCAGAAGTTTAACGCTTGTTAAAACAAGAAGGAAAAATGGTGTGGCCCCAGTAAGTTGTACACTCTTAGTATGAGCATTGTCCTGAAACTCTGGTTTTAGAAAAAATTATCCCTGTGCATTCAAGACATTTCTTTTAACCCTGGGGACTGTCCTGTCTAGGAAATAAAGCTAGAAGGTTTTTGGAAAGCAGATGGATGGAAGGAGTCAGGTAACCTTGTTAGTGTCACAGCTGGGGCCTCCTGGCCGTGCTCTCTTTAGTAGTGCATAGGTTTTCAGACTCGTTCTAGATAGATTAAGGATTCTATGTAGGGTGCCACAGGGAGATGACAGCTGGGGGCGGATGTCAGGTTGGGACTTCAGGCTTTGCTCTCATCTTAATCAGATATGATCTGATTACATCAGTATTAGTATTGACTTTATTTCTTGAAAGGGTTCTGCTGTTAAATGGCTTGAAGACCAGCAATGTACCAGGCTATATAGTAGGCTGTAAAACAGATGCGATAATTAAGCAACTGAGCTTTTGAGCAAAACCAGAGCTAAGGACCCTCTCCTTAGTTACTTATCTTATTAAGTATGATCTTCATTGTGATAACAACAAAGAAGGAAGACACCATTTTCTGTCCTTATGATGACCGGTTCTATGGGGGCGAAACACACACAGAGCATTGCTACAGAATTGTATCTGAGTAAAGTGCCTAAATGAATGGTTGGGAGTTAGGGAGCTCCCAAAATGAAAGCAGTTCTGACTGGCTAGTCAGACTGGCTTCATGGAGGAGTTGTTAATGTGAATGCATCACACATATCATGTCATTTTATTTAAACCTGACAAGTGTTGTCCCCAATTGCTACATGAAGAAATTGGGGGCTCTAAAAAGTCAGCCTAGTTCCTCAACCATGCTGACATAATTACTCATTTGTTTTGACCCAAAATTCACCACAACAGTCTCAAAATTAATATTATCATCAAAATGATTTGTAAAAATAACTATTTTTTTCCTTTTTTTTTTTCTTTTCTTTTGTCCTTGGGGACTGTCTCATGATGGATTTTAAAGTCATTTGGAATGTTTCCTCTTTGTGGGTTTATGCCACCAAGTCCATTCATACATTCATTTTATTTCTTTAGGATTCCTTGTCTGTTATTTAATTTTGTAATTGTGAAAAATACATGATTTCAAAATCAGATGTCATATATATGTATATATATATACATATATATATTCAGTAATCTAGCTTTTCTCGTGTCTTTGAAACATTCCCACTGCTGCATGGGTTGCTATTTACACAGTTTTTAAATTTATCCTTCCATTGTTTGTTTTTTTAAAATAAGGAAACACATGTAGGGTTAAAGTCACCCCTTTTCGGGATACCTGGTTGGCTCAGTTGGTAGAGCATGTGACTCTTGATCTTGGGTTCATGAGTTTGAGCCCCACAGTGGGTTTAGATAAAATCTTTTTTTAAAAATAGTCACACGTTCTACCAACTCAGCCAGCCAGGCACCCCAGTTTCAAGACATTGTAAACAGTGACCTGTCAGATTAAGATAGCAATAGAAATGCCCACTGAACTATTACCAGGAAAGCTACACCCTTGGACAACAAAATACTCAGTCCACTTCATGGCAGCAGAGCTGATACTCATTTAAATAAGGCCTAGTTGGTGAGGGAATCTGGCCGTCCTTCCCAGCACACCTCCTGTCTGTATTCTGGTCAGGCGTCCATGTTGGCCCCTGGCTCTCTTTCTCCAAATAATGATAGTTTGTGCAGAATAATAGCTCACAGGCATTTCTGCTTGGTTCTGGTGGACCTGGGGCAGCAGCCATTCAGAGTGCAGAACAGCAAAGACTCCCCTGCATTGGCCAAGAGCAAGTGCACTCCTTTCCCGCAAGACCATTCTGGAGCCTGCTTTGTCAAACAAGGAGGCTGTGGCTACATGCTCAGCAGATCTCTAGTGAGTGAATCCCTTCTTCTCCTGTAGATACTAGGGAGAACTTAATGGTTTCCTGTATTCCGTGACTTCTTTGACACAGTTTTTGCCTTAGCCATAGTT